TTGACTCCAGATACCAAAGCATGAGATCCTGAATATTCACTAGAGGTTTTCCTTTTTTGTTTCTTTTTTTTTTTTTTCCTTAACTGGTGCCTTGCAGCTTGTAAGTCAAAACGTCTTAGAAAGCTAATTTAGAGTAGCCTCTGAAACATGCAACTCTTGGAGCTGTTAGAGACTTACAGGTTACAAAATGTGTGCCCAGCCTGCTGTGAAACAGTGGCACATGGAGGGTCACCCAGCCTTGTGTTTTATTTAGCTACATTGATTTAGCTAAATTGATTTAAATTTGATTTGCCTTTTACAAAGCTATCCATCCTTGATCTAAAGCCTTTATTTGAAGGTGGCTGTGTATCCGCTGTGTTGCTTGGTAAATTCAGAGTTAAAAATTGTACTTTATTTTGAGGTTGAAAATTTATGACTTAAACTTCCAGCCTCTAGACATTGTTATGAATCCTCTGGTTGTGCCTGCTGTGGGCGTTTAGTATCTCCCATCCACATCCTAAGTATTCAGCTGGCTGGCAGTCTGGAAAATGCTGATGTTCTAAGGGTTACCGGATTGCAATTGTTCTTTGCAAACAAAATTCACATCTGTTCTGACAACTTATTTCAGCCTGATGCAACTTGAAAAGGTCGAGATTAATCCCAGAAAAATCAGACTTCTATTGGAAAGGCCAAATCAACTTTAATTGTAACACATGGCTATTTGTATTGGCGTTTAGCTGCAGCAGTTTATCCTTCTTTCCATTGGCATTATTTGTTTCTGAACCGGCTACTAAACCCTATAATCAAAGCTAAACTCTTAAGTAACATAAAAAAAAATTAGCGGCCAATATCTTTCCTTTTACAGGTTTCCATTGACCCAGGATATTTTGTGTGTATGCTTTCATGTTTATCTGCAGTTTGGGGAAAAAAAAATCATCGAAGAAAATGTTGGCTCATTTTATGAAGATTAATGATGTCTACTGTACTTTCACACACCATCCTATTGTGTTGGCTTTATCCATTACAGCCCACAGTGCATGTGCAGTGCCCGAGGGGACAAATTCTGTCACTTGAAAAACTTTAATCATAGGCACTAGCAGTTTTAAAAACCCTTTGCATTTTAACAGTTGCAAACTGTGGTTTTCTGTTTGTGAGGTGAGTAACAGCAGTACCCACTCTCCGCATGTGGGACAGGTTCGTGTAGCACCTCTCTAACCACCCGACTGGCTTCCGGTAGCTGTTATCAGCTCAGCCATCAAGCCATAAACTGACATTTTAGCTTTCAGAAGCCCTGAAAAGTGACAGGATGGGAGAGACTCATTTGGCAATACTTTGCTCTTGCTATCTGGCCTGGAGAAAGATACTCAAAAGTGGTAAGCTTGTTCAGGAACAGCTGGCAAGCACCCGGGTGTGAGCCTGATTTTCAGACATGACAGGCACTTACAGGAATGTTGCCAGATACAGCTGTTTAAAAGCCTTAATAAACAGCAAGTCAATACTAATCTTTGCCAAATTAATCTTTTCCTTGACAGCCCATCAGAGCAATTATGCTCAGACTTGTTGCAATCACACAATTGTCAGCGGGTAAGGATCTTATCTGCAGTATACTGTAGATCTTTGCACACAGTTGTTTTCAAAATAGGACCATCTCCTTTTCTTCTCCGCCTCCTGTCTTTTTCTCCTCTATTCTATTTTCGAGCTAGTTACATGTTTGCCAGTGTGGTATTGGCCTGAATGAAATTTCTTTATACAGTGTCTATTGCAGCAAGCCCTTAAAAGGATGTGAAGCGATGACAGTTGTAGGAGCCATGCAGATGCACGTTTGCTAGTAGGTTCCTCTAATTAGGCAGTAACTGTGACAGACTCAGAAATGTTACAAGTCATTGTTCTCACTTGTCCTCTTGTCGGTGGAATAGGAACTACATTTCAGTTGTGATTTAATGTGCTGCTGGGCAATACAAAAATATATGACTTTGCAAAGGAAAGCAAATGCTGTAGGCGAGACCTGACATGAGGCAGGAATTCGTGTTCTCTGAGATGCTGGGCACCTCCTGCAGCATTGCCAGCACCATCAGGTCATGTTTTAAGACACACTAGATAATGTTTCATTTAAATGCAAAAAGATTTGAAGACACCAAATAAATAATTAACAGTATAACGGCTCCCCATCTATCTATTAGTACCTACACCTATAAATCAGTGCAAGTTCTGGGTTGTTCTCATGTATGGGTTACATACTGCTCTTTATTTCTCCCATAATAAGGAATAAGGATATCCGTTAGCTACTCCATTTCCCCAGAGCACCCAAAGACTTCTCCACACATTTGCCATATTTACAGGATTGGGTGAGAACAGACAGATACGGTCTGGGAGATGGTAGTTTAGCTTGAGAGAGAGTCTCAGAAGGTTGAGGAAGGTGATAAGACCATGTTTTACATTCTAGTAATGAGCTCTTTCATTGTAGGGCTTCCTGTTTACAGATGAGCCTCACTGGGAATATTTGGTAGAATATGCCACAGGAATCAGGAAAGAGTATTTGGTGAGAGAGCGAGCAGTGGGCATGAATACATAAAGTTTCATTGTGCGTGGCTGATGCCCACCATGAATACATTAATTACTTCCTGGCTGTGGGGGAATGTGGGGAAAAAAAATTCTATATTAGATGACTCTCAAGGTCTTCTCTGGGTAGCAGGTAACAGCCGGACTGGATTTCTGTTCAAACCTCTCCGAGTTTGGTAAGAGAGAGACTAGGACACCAGTCACTAGAATGAGGCACTCTGATCTCAAGAGATAAATTCCAACTGTCTTTCCTTTTCAAAACCTCTGCTTACCTGGGTTTCCAGCACATAGGATTTAAACTTTCCGGAGTGCCTGTGTTGCTAACCTGGTGCTTCATGTACTGCTTTTTACTTAAAAATCATCAGAAAAGATAAATTAATTTCCTATAATGGAAGACTATCTCCCTTGGTTTCTATCACGTTGACAGATGTCTTTACCATGTTTATTTACTACACGTGTGGGTTGTTTTGTTCCTGCGTGTTCTCATTACCAGCCTCATGACAGATGGTGACTTGCAACCAGTAGCTTGAGTATATGTGTTACTGTGGTGCCTAAGCCACAGTGCTTCAGCAAAGGATAGGGCATCCTTTACGAACTTCAGTGGCATTTCACCTGCTTACAAAAGGATCTCAACCTTCTGGGCTCTAGCTATTGACTCCGCTGTCCGTCAATACGCATTTGAAAACTAGTAACAGATTGCCATTGGCAGGCAACTATTGCTTTTTCCCAAGGTCAGACAAGAAGAGTTGACATTTATGCATCAAAGTTGGATCTTTCCCCTGCAACTAAGTGGCTTCAGTGTAATCTAGGCCAGTTTACCACTGGAACTGGTAAGGTGCTTTATGCTAAACACACCAGAGGCTTAAGTTCTTACAGACTAACAGACATCAACTAGCAAGGAGTTCATACAGAATAAGTATTTTATTCATGATTTTTTTTTATTTACATTAAAGTTTTCTTGTATTTTGAACTCTGCTTGGATATCGAAATTAACAACTTTATGTGACTGCATACCTGCTCTAAAAGAAATGGAGATAACACAGTTCTTTTCCATAAAAGAAAAAAGAAACCTGCCTGTCAAAATCAAAGCTGATTTTTCTCATCCTCAGTAATTATCTTCTCACTTTTGAATTAATATGAGTGGAAAATGTAGTTTACTATAATATAATAAATAGAAGACATTGGGTAATTAGTAGTGCTGGTATATTTCTAAAGTACTAAACAGACAAACAATAAACTGTGAATTTAATCACGAGTTCTCATACAGTTTTAAGACAGGAAAATTAGAGCTCTCAGCTACAGTCATTTGAGTAATCATATCTGATCTGCATTATTTATTAGTTATTACATGCCAAGTGATTCCAATTGTACATTGCCTAAAATCATTCCAAAGCAAGCACACCTTTGTTTTTATTTTGCTTTTAAAAAAATTGTTGGCATTGTATAATGTGTATTTAGTCAGAGTTGCTTTCTTTATTTCACATAGAAAATACAAATCAGTGGTACTCTTCATTAATTGGACAGGCATCCACGATGAAATCCTCCAGAAATCTGTTTTCAGAGCTATCCCTGGTCCAAAACATGGATCAGTTTTTTTTGGGGGGGAGGGGTATCTTATCCCTTTGTCTGTAGCTGTTTTACTTACCTTTCACTTTAGGAGGTTTTTGCAATACACTCCTTAAATCTCTATACGCTCTTTTGCATGTATAATAAAATGGCTTAAGCATATTTGGTAATATTTCTGTTGGTAATATTTTTATTCCACTTGACCAATCAATGAAAACATACATTTTCAAGAAACAGCATTATGCTGTTTTCTTTAGTTAGTTTTGTTGGTTTAAGTCTTAGTTTTGGGCAACGTCTTGCTACAATGCTTTAAAATTACTTAAAATATCATTTTTTTAACAATCAAAGAAATATAGAAATAAGTATTGGTTACCTTCCTTTCCTGCCAAAAAAAGCAGGTTTGGTGTTATGTATGTCACTGTAAAAACTAAATAAAGTATTCACATCAGCTGTGAACAATCTTTGCCAGCAAAAGTTAAAGCGTCAAAGAAACCTCTTTAAAATGCTAACAAATTTACTTACAAACACCTATATTTATTATTTCATAAATAGGCGCAACAGGTTCCATAAAAAAAGATTAAATACAGACACAGTATGAAGAAACAATAATACATAGCCATATGTAAAGGTTATAATTTAGCTGTCTCCAATCTGTTTCTGCATCTAATAAAATATCAGGTAAGCATTTGGCAGTTTTATACATAAAAGGACTTAAATGACATTTACTAATCATTACACATAAAGTGATTTTTTTTAAAAAAAAGAAGCATTTTTAGGCAGTACAAAATAAATGTGTTTGCTCTTTATCAACACTAGTTTTTTCCTAGTTTTTCTCTTTATTTAATGAGACAAAGCCAATATTTTTAATTAATATCATTCGGGAATATTTTTTTTTTCTCCACATACTTTGAAAATATAGAACTATTAGTCAGCTGTTTAAAAATGAAGTAAAAATATGAATGTTTGCCAATTTAACCCTTATTGTGAAATCAATAAACTGGAATGAGCCAGTTTCAATTACAATTAGCTACAAAAACATTCACATTTTATACTCTAGGAGAGTGTAACATAGATGCTATTTACAAACTTGCTATGACTGCTACATCAAGCCATTTAAAAAGTCTTTAGTAGTTTCATATAAACACCCATTATGAAAAACCAATGGAAAATCCAGGACTTTTATCCGAGACATCTACAGTTGCTAAGGCAGTTACTATCGCAGCACTTCACAGCAAAAACCAACATAAAATCTGAATGGTCCAAGTTTCCTTCAGGAAAGAAGAAAAGCAATGTCCGTTACAGGATCTCAGGGTGGGGGGCGGAAAGGAGAAAGAAAGAGAAAAAATGGGGGGAAAAAAAAGAAAAAGAAAGAAGCAAGACTATTTTTTTCCAGAGTGGGTGACCCACAAGCTCAAATAGTCCTAAGTGCTTAGCAACTTGTATTTTCTAATAAAATGCAGAACTGCCTTGACTGCATAAAGCAATCCATGATGAAAAGACTTCCCTGCATTCCTCAATGAAAAGGAAAGGTGTTTCAGATTTTCAGGTAAGGTAGAGTGCTTTGTCCCTCTGCATGCTCCTATTCAAAGAGAAAAGAACAAATGTTATTTTTAAATTTGTCAAATTTTTAGTCCTATTCTTCCAAAAATCCCCATGACCCTCCCCTATGTCATTGATTCTAGGCATATCACTGAAGTATGGCTGAAGTACCACGGCAATAGTAAGAAAAATAATAAGAAAACCTCTTCCTCCATGGTGGCACATAGAGGTCAAATCTATCTCTACACTAAACAGGACTGGGACATGGGTTTAAGTACTGGTCTGGGATCACCTGCTAGTGGGTGGTTAGTCCTGACTGTCCCTCTCTCAAAAATTGCCTAGGCGCACCTAAGGTTTAGCACAGGTCTAGGGACCAGTCTCAATAAGCAGCCTTTGCCTATATGATCTGGCTGGTCACTTTTCTTATACGGTAGGAGAGCTTGGTTATATAGACATGAGTCAATATGCTGTGCCAACTAGCCTAGGTTCCTGGCCTATTTTATTTGTTAGAACAGACATAGACAAAATGTTCTATGCTGGCAGGGCTAGGCAAGCTCACACAAGGGTACATGGGACAATTCTGGCAGAGCCCAGACTAGAGCCAACGCTTCCTGCCTCTGGGGGAAGCCTTTCACCAACACACTGGGTCGAGTACAGTATTACATTCAGTTCTTGCTTGGTTCACCTTCTCCTGAAAGATACCAGTTCAGTTCAGAGCAAAAAGGGATCATTTATCAGTTTGTAATCCGAAACGGCCTGTGCAAGTCAGAAAAAAATTATAATTTAAAGCAGAAAAAGTATGACTGGTGAGGCTTGGTTCACAGTGCAGAGGTTTTCTCTTCATCTCCTGCTTCCTTGCTGTAACCCAGGCACCAGTTCTGTTCTTCCACAGCTTTACAGCTCACTTGGTTTGAAGTCAGGGAGTAGCAAGCACAGAGCAAGCTACTGCTTGCACTGGCAATTCATGCCACAGCTACAGCAAAGATGGGCTAAATCCATGCACACACGTTCACAGAGGCACACACATCTATACAGGAGGGGTATAAACGGTCTACTGAGAGAAATCTTGTGCTGATGGGAAGTTATGCTCAGTGAGCACTTAGAAGGCGTTGCTGGCAATGAGCATACATTGCTTTTCACCAGAAGAGACTAGAAATCAAAGCTGTAGCTGGCTATAGCCCTTTTGGCGGAGGACAGTCTATTAAGAGCTCAACTTAAATGGATATAAAAGGCTGTTGCGCTCCTCTCCTACAAGAGATGGCAGCACAAAGCAATGCAGTATAGTGGTACAGTAGAGAAGCAGGAACTTTTTGCTGAACACATGGGCAAGTCATGGGGCAACAGGGATAGGCATGGGGGAAAGTGATGCTGCTTTGCAGACTAGCTAAGGTCTGCCTCAGGGTCAGCAGGTTTTAGTCAATATGTTATTCTGAACTGGTAACCACAAAAATTTTTTTGTTCAGTTCTAGATTGAGTTCAACAAAGATTTTAAAATAATGCAAGCAAAATTCTGAGTTTGAGTAAATGTAATGGGTGAAACTGGTCTTTACTTCTGCTTTGGGTTTGATTGTCTGGGCTGGATGTGGCTCCTTGGTTATTAGGAGAGTTTTTTATCTGCCTTTGCTTTGGGGATTCTTGCCAAGGTCAAGGAGAGGTCAGGCTGAAGGATGTGTGCACACAGGGCGCGATATCTATCATCCAGAACTCGACAAATATGTCATTCAGATAGTTAAAGGTTTCCAGACAGATGCTGGAACTGCAACATGGCTCCATAAAAACCATGCTGCTTGGGAGTTGAAGGTCTGAAGGGGCTACTAAGGGCACAGAGCTCTTGTATGTATGGTGTTTTGTCTGGTAACAGTCTCCTGAGCTTCATGTCGTTCCCCTCCATTCATCCTGTATCCCTTGCATCAATCACCCTGGCATCTCAGTGACTGACCTGGGTTTTCAGGGCCCACCCAGCTACTTCCACCAGAAGTAAACTTTACCTAGTGATAGAGAATTTGGAAGAAACAGTTCCTGCCATTTGTCCCTCAGGTCGAAGGCACATATTACTTCTTTCTTTCACCTTCTCCCTAACAGTTCAGTTTTTCTTTTCTAACAAATGGAAGTGCTCTAAGACCAAAATGTCTCTGTTGTGATAACGGGGCAACGAATTCTGTACTGCTGTACTGCAGTCCTACAACAATCTAACTGCTAAACAAATATAATGCCCTCACAGATGCACTTCTAAAATACTATAGGGAAACAGGCAACAAAGCTGTTTCCAAATTCTCTATCCAATGCTTGTGTCATGAAGGTTGCTCAACACAAGGTGGCATTCACTGGCTGCTTACCCATTACTGCAGTAGTCATTATTCCAGTCCACAGTCTGTGCTGGAGGATTTCTGCACCCTGAACGAACATACTCCATTGCTTGGGTAACAACTTGTGCAGCTGTAGATGTTGGATTGATGATATTCTGATAATCAGGCTGAAGAGTAAATCCCTAGAAGAGAAAGAATATACATTACAACGTATGGTAAACCAAGCAACAGGTTGGGTGCAATGTAAAAAAAAAAGATGTGTACAGCAAAATGTTGGAATCCTTCTTTTCCAGGTATACTTTAAGTTCTCAAATTAAAACCAGGAAAAATTGTGTAGGTGCTTTCTAGGTTTTAAAATCTTTCTTTGTTTTCAAAAATAAACCACCACCAAATTGTTAGCTATTACAGTCACAGGATGGAACTAAAAGAGAAAGAACAGAAATAATTCAAAACCAAGAGAACAACTCAATCAACACCAGGGCAAAAAGGTCTGTTTGCTCCTTACAGCTTTCATTTAGATTAAACATAAGGATACACACTACTCGTTAATTCCCAGAATATGCAACAGAATCTTTTTGAAGGATGTAGGCAGCAGGTGGCTGACTGTTTTATTAGACTACACCTATTCACATATTGTTCTCAAAACCCTTTTTCTTCATTCAGTCACAAAGGGACCATCTGCTGCTTCTTTTATTTGCACTTCTCTCTCAACTAAACAGAAATTCAACCAAAGCTTTTTAACAGTCGTTGGACTAATGCAGTGAAAGTAGCACAAAATAACTTGCTTCTTAAAACCAAGAAGATGAGAAAAAAAGTAAAAGATATAAAGATACATTTAACCTGCTCCCTGAAATATCCATCATATGAAAAATCATAACAATTCTTAGCTCTTTTGATATATTGGGATGTTTAAATGCTGTGTTTTGAGGCCAGAAGAACGATTAGAATTTCAAGGGTAGTCTGAACTGCCTTAGTGCATCAGGTTAACCATATATAAATGTACATTGTGTTTCTGTAGAATTAGGAGCATTATATTGGGTAAAAGTATTTGAATGCTATAAGAAAGCAACTGGTGCCTGCTGGGGAAAAAAAAAAAAGACCAAACTCCTTCGTGGGGCAAGGACATTAACAGGAGTTATAACTGCTAAATCATAAACTGAAGTTGATCCAAAATACCTAGTTTGAAAAATCCACTTTTTCTGGCCACAGACCATGTATAGAATAGATAGGATTACAGTTCATAACTTTTAGTTTGAAATTTAAGTGGTTTATGGATGATTACTTCATATACACAGTTTTCATTAAGACAGGAGGCTTGGGCAGAGCTATCTTCAGCAGCAGGATTAAGAGCTCTGCCATACTACCTTTATACAAGATAATGGGTATTCTCAGTTTCTGCCTGGCCCCCTCCCTCCCAAAGAATGAGCATCCTTCAAATATAAAATGTCTCTTCCTTCCTCAAATCCCCCTTTCTTGTTGCATTATATTCAAGCTTTTTCTTGCAGCCCCTCCAGTGCTCTGCCCTAGTGTGCCTCTCTTGCACGCTGTCACCTCGCCCTACTGACCACAATTTTTAGCCTAGGTCATAAACGAATTTCACAACTTTCTTCCGTATTCTCTTCCATGTGGAGAATATCCTGAGTTGCACTTCAAGACTTTAAATACTTTTTAAAGCTTCACTTTGATCCCAAGAAACAGGCCACTAGTAGTGGGTAAGTTCAGGAATTGCATCTAGTTGTTTTATAACTTATATACTGCCCTCCTAATAAGATAAAATTAAATGCATGCATAATGATTATGCTTTGTATACCACCTTTCCATTAGGCTCTAAACATGCTCATCATGCATGTACAACTCCCACCCTATACAGAAAGCTGTAACTGAGCAGACTTTCCAATGACTTTAATGGGAGTTTTCTGTGAACAGAAGGCAGAAAAATTGGTTTTGTATATCACCATCATCATTTGTACACAAAACATTACCCACAAGGACTCTTCTAATTTATTTGTAAGAGGAAACTAACTACAGAAACATGTTCTACCCTCAGGCACTTGGGTTTACCTTTGGTAGACCAAGCTCCTCAGCGCTCTCTCATCAGTCAATGAGAGGCACAATAAAACCACCTTATGGTAGGCTAGCAGCTCCAGCAGCGTTGTACAGAAGCATGCAAGTGAGCAGATACAGACACTCAAGTACTCTTTTAGCAAGAAACAGATCCCCAAAATCAGAGGAAGAAAACACCAGTGTATTATCAGTTCCAATTCTTTCATCCTCAAGGCCAGTACGTAGGAGGGTGGTTCTGCAGTTACAATGCCAGCCTAGTACTGGGGGAGGACTTATCTTATTCTCCTCTTTTTTCAGGCCTTTGGTGTGACCACAGCCAGGTCACCTTGGCTTTTTTCCAGCCAAACATGTTCATGCATACTCAGACTGAACTGGGACTTGTCACGTTAAAGCTGGGAACGCGGATCACAGCTTAACCTCTCTGGGCCTCACTTCTCCCATCTGCAGAAGGAGGGCGATGATACTGTCGTCTTGCACCTGGCTTGTCTGTTTAGTTCACAGCTGCCTGGGATTGGGCCTGTTTCTCAGGGCATGCTCAGGTGATAAACTCCAGGCAGCGCAGGGACATCGGTGCTGGCACGAGAGCCAGCAGCAGTCTAGGGGCTGCAGCTCAGCGCTGCAACTAGGCTGACGCAGGCTGACCTCGCGCGCCGTGGACCTGCTCCAGCCACCCAGGAGCTACTTCACGCAACTGGGACAGCAGCATATTGCGCAGATGCGGTTTTAACTCTGCCGATAGGCAGCACCTAGCGCAACCCTAGGCTGACCTTGGTTGAGGGCTACCACAATACCAACAACAAAAGCAATAATGTGGGTGTTTGAAAGCCTACTTTTTAACGTTAAGCAGTTTAAGAAACTTGAACTCAATCTGAAAGACCAATAAGGTATGATCATGCTTAAAATGTAAACAATAAATACTTCAGCTTTTTCAGTAACACAAAAAGCACTGAAAATATAGATCTGTACGAGATAAGGAGACTACAAACCTACAGGATAGGTTTGTAGTAAATATTTGTTATTATTTATGTAAGCCCTCAACAATGATGAAATAAAAAGCGCTTTGAGAAAATGAGTGCTTCAAGGTCTAATTAAACAATGCTGAATGTTTTTGCATTGTAATGCTCAAGAGAAAATCACCAACTGTTTTGCAACATGCCTAGAATTTTAAATTTCATTTTCTTGTTCCAGATTGAAATAAAAATAGGGAACTTGATAAAGATTAATTCGATGTCAGGAGGGACATTTGCTCTTTAATTAGATTTCTGTAGCCCTAGCAGTTTCGTTGTGCCACTGTAGCAAGTCCTAAAAAGCCTGCAGCAGAACTAAACAGTGATCCTCATCTCCACACTTTACTGGGAACTAATTTCATTTCCTGCCTGTCTGGAGAGGTATTTTCAACAGGCATCAATGTTTTTGTCTTCACAACTGATTTATTCATCAATCTCAATGTGATATTTTAAACCTTTAAATTACATCCAAATCCTAAAGCATCTGTTTATTACACAAGGAAATTGAAAATCTGTCTGTGTGATATCATACAAAGATTTTTCCTTAAGGTTATAAAGGAAGTTGACAGATATTAATGATTTTTTTTTCTCTTGACCTCATTCGAAGACAAAGCGTAACAAAAAAGAGGTAGAAATCTGGACAAATGCAGCAGGTCCATGAGTTTACTGTGTACAATATATACCAGAAAAAATGAGGCTATTATTTTTGGCAGGCTATGCAATCATCTTGCTGTATACATTTATTTTCTAAAGAAAAAGAAACACCTACAAGTTGACTGAAATGAGTTATTATTAAAAAAATTAAAGAATAAAATGCAACATACATTAATCTTCTGCTTCTTTGTTATGCATACACTTGCAGCCACGGTTACTAGACATTAAGAATCTAGTTTTGCTTGCTCTACCTGTGAACCAAGTGGGACAGAGATTGTAATGAGACTCCCTGTCCCACATGGCTTAGGTCAAGGATTTTCAGTAGGGAAGGAGATGCTTCCAGTAGAGGTACTTAAAAGGACTCCTCAGAAATGACTGAGAGTATTTGGGAGAGATTGAATCCTTGATCTTATCACTCCGCACACAAAAAAAGCACAGTACAACAGGCTGGGGAACGTAGTGAGCAGCAAAAGGAATGAATGACTTTTCAAAAGAAAACAGGTTGCAGCTTCAGATGCTGTTTTAGCCTGAACTTCAGAGGAATTGGGCTGATTTGAATGACAAAGGGTGAGATTCAGATCACCTGATTCCAGCTAAGTAAAAATTAAACATCTTGCGAAACCTAGTTGTCTAATCTCACATATAATCAGGGGAAAGAAACAGACTGGAGAGAAGGGAGTCTGTATCAGTTAAAAGATGATACATTGATAAGATGCTCATGCGAGCATTTAATGAAAGAAAAATCACACTCCTCTAATCTACTATGATTCATTCAGTATGTCAAAAGTGGATGAAAGAAAGACTGTTACAAAATAGATTCAGACTTTAACAAAGCAGAACTTCAACACACTTCCTGCTAAGAATATTTCAGAAAACTGTAGTACGATATAAATAAACTACAGTCAAAATCAGGATCTAATTTAAACCTAAGAATAAGAATAGGATTAAATGGTCATTTTTTTACAGTGTAAGAGATTAACAAGAGCATCCCAGATGTCTATAAAAGGGCTGATGTTATTTAGTTTACTCATTAAGTGTTTTGGAAGAAAAGGGAATAGAGAAAAACAATGGTTTAGTTTCCAGAAGCTATAAAAATTATTTAGATAACTCAAATTAGGGAAGATTGTAAAAGGAACTCTTAAAAGATTTACTAATGCTAGGCTACATCAATAGATAAATTTACTTTGTCCTGTGCATTTTAGAACAATTTGGATGCATTGCACCAACTGCACGCTCCAAAGCATTAATTGATTTTAAATTAACAGAAAATGTGCAGTTCTTGAGGATTTTTGGCTTCTAAACTTCTGATCTTCTTGATTTTCGGTAGTTTTCGTGGAATCCTTCAGGAAACTGTCCCTCTCCAGCTGGCAGTCTCTCTGAGTTTGGCAGCTGCACACGAGCAGGCAAGTGCTGTTGGAAGCATGGCAGTACACGCTGTTCTCTGCGGAGCTGTTACAGATCAGCGCAGTGTCCTTACAGTCGTGTGGGCAGGCGCTGTTTTTGTGAACTCTCTCCCTAGGCCAGCAGCTTCTTATCAGTCCCTCCTCAAAGTTACTCAGATGATGAGAAGATGAGTCTGTCTATTTTACACTGTCATTTTGGAGAGCTGTGGTCCTGCCTGCCAGGACTGAAGTCTAGATGTCTATGTAGATTTTCTCAGAGCTGGCAGTCCTTCAGACATACTGCAAGTCTGTCTTTGATAAGAAACCTCTCCTGGAGAAAACAAGTGGCCAAATCTCCCAGTAGCCACTGTGTTAAAGCAGGGAATCTGCTGGGATTCCTAGAACATGCTACCCACTGAACGTCACACTAACAAGCCACAAACTATTCCAAAGTTGGATGTTGGGGAAAAAAAAAATCAGAACCTACCATTGGTGGGAGCTGTGACTGCTACTTCTTCTCTGTCTACAGCACAAATCTCAGTCTGTAACAGTGATGTCTAGCCAAGGGAGTTTGGGAACGCCTGAGGTAAAAGATTATTATAAGGCTATTGACACATCTACTCTTCTCTTGCCTATTAAGTTTCATGCTGCAACGTGACATGAAAAGATTACCTAGCTGCTTCTTAAAGTATATTTGTCTGAGCAGTGGTGAGGTGTCTGAAAAGTAAAATCTCCTTTGTTGCAGGTCACAAAGAACGGAGTAGGATGCCGAGTAGTTTTTTTAATTCCTGCTTACATAAACTGGAAGCCCATTGGAGTTTCTGGAAAAGGCTTACAGTGGCCACACCTTTAGGAAATCAAATAGCTGACGGAAGAGGAGCTGGAGAAAAGCTGAATCAATGCAGCTGTTGCTTTGGCTTTATCAGCCCATATATTCTCCCATTCTTCTTTGTTGCCTTTTTATCTGGTAGAGTGCTCTACTCTGTTAGTCAAGCACGCAGGTTTTGGTGGGATCCCAGCCTCCTGCTCAGAGTCCTCCCTCCCTCCTTGCTGGAGGCTGGACATGCAAGATAGTTCTATGCCTCTTCGTTGCCCGTGCTGTGGTTAACCTTCTGTGCTGCTGCCGTTGTACTGTGGCGTGTTTGGAGGGCTTGCTTGTCTTTTCCATCAAGTCTTTTCCTTTTTAACATGCTCTGTGTTTGCTCGGTTTCAAGTAGACTGGAGAGTACTGTCCTTTGACATATGAGTCAGAAGGAAGCCTTCATTTTCAAGTTTCTCAGGATGAGTTTTTCAGTTTCTTGCTATATGCCTCCTAGTGGCCAAATTGTCCTTTAAAGCTCTAAATGCAGTGCGTAATCCTGGGGATGGTGTTTTTTAACATTTCCTGGGTATGACTAGAATGAGTTATACCTAAGAGACTAGGCAGGATACCACCGTTCTGCTCTGGCATACCAAATTGTAATTAGCACACTTGTTGCCCCAAAATTCAACATAGCTTTTGCTTCGTCTTTGCCAACATCATTCTTTTAAAGGGACTGGATTCTATATTTAAACTAAATTTACAAACTGTATAAAATGTGGTATACTAAACAAACATAAAAGCATATGAAACAAACATCACAAATATTATAAAGGTAAAGTGAAATCACATAGAACATTCAGAGCTCAAAAGCTGTATTACTTTTAAACAAAAATTAAACCATAAAAATATAAACGGACTTGCAGATGTTTCATGATGTTTAAAAGAGAAACGTAGTTAAGACTGGCAGTGTAGCATTTTGACAGGTAATAAGTATCTGTCACCTTAAGCAAAGATCAGGAATAGCTCTGCTGTCTTACCATGGTTTCCATTATAAACATCAGCCTTCCTGACTAAGCAGTGTGAGTCAGTAAAAGTATTTAAGCTAATCTTTCATAAGTTTAATAATGAAGAGCAGGAGAACTGCATTTTTTATTTTATCATACTTGTATTCAGTAAAGCAAAAGATGCAGTATGCTACATGCCTACATTTTGACTTCTAGACACCTTTTTTCTACAGCCTAATGTCCTACGTTTTTTCTCAAGCTAAAAATGACTCAGCTACATACAACGCATCTCACAGATGAATGAAAGTTCTTCCAAACCACTGACATGCACACCATACGCTACGAGTGTGCAACTTGGTAAAACAAAAGCATGAGAAGACTCTTATTATCTTACCTTTTTTGTGCTATATAATGGTTTGGAGTAACTCCTAAAGCAGTGTTTGGATTCATACAATGATGACAATGTGTGTTGCACATATACCTGACCAGACAGATATGAAATCCTTAAAAGTATCTAACATTTGCATTACACCTTTTGCCAACCATTACTGTACTACCCATCGAATAATCAAAGCCAGATTTTCAAATCTGTTCCGTTAGTTGTGCCTACCAGCAATTCTGAAAAGAAAGAATGGGTTTGATCTTCTCTTGCGCTGCACTGGTCAAGTGACTCTAAGTTTGGCACAAAAGGTTTGATTCTAATTCTAGGAAGACTGAATCACATTGCAATACCAGACTCGCTTGAATATTATCATATGATCTCAACAGGCTGCTGTCACAGCTGTCATTCTTCATAGGCTGTCAACTAACCGGACAGTTGCATTGGGTCTCAGTCCCTTGTTTTGCTCTTCATTGCTCTGCATCTTCAGTTTCTGTTGAGATTGGGCTTTCCATCAGCCCTAGGATCTCTAGAGAGCTCCTCCTAGATCATCTGTCTAAGACTTCTTGCTGAGCTACCTCCAGCTACCCAGGTCAGGTGCTAACTCCTGAGTTTCTCTGAGGCTTGCATATGGGCATTGCCAGGACACGCTCTGGACTTTGAAGTAGAAGAACCTTCAGAAATACATGACAGTGAAAGACTCCACATTTGTGTGCGTGGTCATAAGCCTACTGAGCTTACTCTGAGCATGAAAAATATGCTAGACTAGGCAGAAGTTGTAAACCATTTACAAATCTTCCTGCCTGCCTGATTACTCAAAACCTTTCTGGAACTAAGATCAAGGCCTCTGAAGCAATTCAGATCATCCGGGGCACCTCTTGGTTTATGCTCTGAACAGAATTTATTAGTCCAGATTGTTTTCACCTCTGTTTTTTTGTCCTACTGTGGAAAATTCCACTCTCCGATAAATCACTTCTCCTAGTTACGAGCAATATTTTGTGTTCTCGTGTTCCCCTCTCTAAAGACCATTCCTGGGATTAAATGCTTCTTGTTTGTAAAGCAAATGCCATATGCCTTGTTAGCAAATGTGAATTTATAGAGAGATATTCAAAATATATAGCAGTTTCATAACTGTGCATTGTCAACCAGAACTGACAAGTTGCATGCATACAAATTCCTGAAATTCTTGCAACTCCACTGAAGAAATTTTCATTCTAACACCTCTTCGTAAAGCAAGATTTTATTCTTGCTCGTCAAATCTCAGCCAATACAAAGGGAAATCTGCGCTCATGAAATCAGCAGTGTTAATCTTCTCTACCCCTCCACAGGACTAGGCCTAAAACTCCAAGTAATATGTTTGGCCTATATTCATTCAGATCCTCAAGGAAATGTATTGAGAATTGACTATGGAAAACAAAGAATGAAAAGAACTCCACTTTACTGCAATACTGGGGATAGACTACTTATTTCCAGTAATAAAGCATATCTGCCTACCAGAATGAGGGCAAGAATGCAGGATAAATTAACATACTTATGCTCATTTAATCTAACATGTACAACAGAGTCTGTTATATTTTGCGATCCTGTGTCTGCTACATATGACAGTCAGCACAAGTATACACACGGCACATGCTACAGTCACATCTTTTTCTAGACATGCCTACATTTTGTTTATAAAATAGATGGTTCTTGAAGCCTTAAAATTTCAGGTATGTTTCAGGGTACTTTCTGCCTTGTAGATTGATCCAAAGAGTCAGACACTTCTATTTAAAGGATGACTCCTGAATATGTAGGGGAGAGAGGGTTCACAAGAATATAATTAAAGTTGGTAATATAAACAGTTCCACTGATGCTGCCCATCACCTAGGTAAACTCATTCTTTTGAAAGAATCAGTCTTTGAAAGACTAAGCCCTTGGACTATACTACGGCAGTTTTGGAAATCTGTAAAATCAAAGCTAGTCCATAGTTCTAAATCACTCTCACTGTCAACTTCTGGATGATTTCCACTTGCTCAAAAAAAAAAAAAAAAAGAAAAAGGAAAAAGTACCCTGGACAACTAAGAAGCTCAACTTACTTGCTGCATTGTAGGTGAATGTAAAGCAGACTGGACCGGCATCGGTAGCTGGCTTCCAATGGACTGCTGCATTGTAATTGGCTGGTGTTGCTGTATGTTGAGATGCTGGTGCAAAGGAGGGCTGATCTGGAGCGGTGGTGGTGGGGACACGGCCATGTTTGCTATGGAAACAGTCACTGGCATTTGGTTGTTGGGCTTGGGTGCTATGTTCCTGGGGATATTGGCATGCATGGCAGTGATATGAGGATTCATTCCTGGTTGTTGGTGGTAGTGGGAACTGAGGTACAGCGCAGAGTGAGCCTGGGCAGGCCCATGAAACACTGACTGCTTTGAATTCATCATCTGAGGTTGCTGGGAGGTCTTAACATCAACAGGTTCACTGTAGCTCTGTGAGGAAAAACCAAAAAAACCAGACAATACTTAAAAGCTACAAAATGCTGTTGTTTTTCCCCCAAAGATCTCTTTACTGCACAAACGGACCTTTGCCCCACTCTCTCCCTTCAACAGTCTGCAGAACGGTTTCAAGCAAAGTGTAGCTGACATGTTCTGTAAAGGTAATTTGGGATACTGGAGAATTTTATTTTTTTAAGGGTTTCACTATGGGAGAACATGTATCTGGACCATCAAAATACCCTTTCCACGGAGTTTGGTTATTACAGTAGAAACAACAATTTCCCCAACAATTAATCCCTATTACCTTACATGTTGTTCTTCAGCATCATAAAAAAAGAGGTTAGCCCCTCTGCTTCCTGGTCTAGTCTGAAATTTTGCTTTTTCAAAACTTAGAACTGACCTAATCTAACATCACTGACCTAATAACCTACACAACAGAGAGAACCAAGGCTGTCACATTTATTCACACAAGCAGTCGCTACTATTATCCTCAAATTTGATGGTCTAGTTGAAAACAGATTCCGGAGGGTGGGTTCTGGCAAAAGCCTGCAGTGATCTTTGGCATGTCACTTCCCCGCTCCATGCCTCATTTCCCCATCTACAAAACAGGCGTAAGAATTCAAGTGTCCTTTATTACACATGCTGACAACTGCTAGTAGTGTTGTATTAGAGTTAGCTAACATTGGTGACAAGGCCAAACCCCATCCACAGTTGTTCTACTGCAGTGAATAAACACGCTAGTTGCTGTGCTGATGCCTTTATTTTGAAGTATTGTGTGCTGGGATACTATCCACATCTGTATCAACTGTGTTTCATGAGCCATGCATGCAGAAAAATAAGAACATTCTGAATTATTTCACTTTCTGCAAAACCTCTTTTATGAATCCAGTGAAAAAGTTCTGTTTAAAACTGACAGAACCAGATGGTCTACATACTAAAGCTTGACAACTACTGCACGGTATAACAGAAAACACACCAGTTTTCAAAAATGCTATAGTCTATCCTGATTTCTTAAGCTGTTAGTAATACAATATTTCCAATAATGAATGTGTTAATATACTCATTTCTAATGTTTATAATTGTTACATTCGAATTACAGTCAATTTGTTGTGTTCCATACTCTCATTTCCTTAGATCTTCTAACAGTTGCTAACTACACGCGCTCAAAAAAGTGCTGAAAAAATTTAAGATTTAGCTCTCATGTGCTTATGGGTGGGTACCTGAATCATAATTTAGCAGGTAAGACACACTGGGATTAGTAGTCGGTGAAAGGTAACACTGGGATTAGTAGTCAGTAGTAGACACACTGGGATTAGTAGTCAGTGAAAGGTTTTCATGCTGGAAAAAATGGCAGAAATGTCCCTCTGGAGAGAGAAGTCACTTTGTTAAAACAAGGGCTGAAAGATGTACATATGCCCTTATTCCGTGACCTCCATGTCATGTTTGCTCAGTTTACAAGTCAAAGTAAGTTTCACGTTACTCTCAGCACTCCGGGGTCAGCGCAGCCGAAGGAAGTCTATTTGTATTCTTTCTGAAGGATGTACCATCACCAACAATCAGCTGACATGCACATTACTGAAATTGGTTCATTACATGCGATGATAAAGACGAAAAAGATAACTTCATTTTCCCTAAGTAAAAAAACTGCCGCTCTATTAGCAAGAAAACTTATTTCCTCCAGTAAACTAAGGAAAATTAAATGAATGTGATAAAAGGAATGCAAATATCTGTCTCTGTGCATCTGCCTCGCTATGCCTGCATGTGGGAGTACACGTGGGCAATATGTATTATATGCATGCTTGCAGGATGGAGATACAGAGATAAAGAAACACAGATAGTAAAAGATAAAACCTGAAAGTAGGTTCAAAATTCTAGCAGGTTTTTTTGGCATTATTTTTAAACTACTGAGCATTAGTTCACGAGGACATGAGAAATGTTCTTGCTCTCTGTTCCCAGTAGTATTTGCCCAATGCTCATGACAATGAGAGAGCAAAGACTGGAAGGTTTGCTGAAATTTCAGAGATTCAGAGGGTCTGCTAATTAGAGGCATGGTCAGGACCCTCCTCTTCAGCCTGCCAGGCTCTTTACACATTACAGGAAATACATTCTGTGTTCTTTTTTGAGAAACTTGAAGATTTGTTGAGTGCGTCATCCCTTCATGGAAACACTCTGCCTTCCATGATGTACTCAGAGCAACGGCAATTTATCCTGACGTTTCCGAGGTCAAAGAGTTTAAACAATCCCTCCTGGTGAGTAGGTACGGAAAAGTCTTTGTGGCACTCTTCATGACATAGTGATACATATTTATGTTTCACTTGTGATTGCAAACGTGTTGCCATACATCTCTTTAACAAAGATATAATGAATTAGTTTAATTACTGGGATAACTCTGTTGCTCACAGTTCACACGTAAGTGGTGAATGCATGGCCCACACTGATAAAATTACAGAGACAGTAGATACTTAGTATCATGTAATAGCTGAAATACAAAATTATGTTAGAAGGAATTGCCTAGTCTCAGGCCCAGAGATGAATAACACTTGCTTTGCCTCTGAGAAGAGCATTTGCAAAGTGATCTAAAAGGAGCAGCTCCAGGTGTCTCAAGCTATCACTAATCTTTCCATGTATTTCACTATGTTCTGATACAGTGAAAAACACAACACTTCTGTTTCAGACAAGTATTTTGCTGTTACTTAGGATGCTTTAAATCATATGTGATCTGAAGCCAAATTGTCCAATATCAGTGTAAAATACATCAATATTATCAGTTAGTGGGAATCTTGATAAATGAACCTATTAAATGCTATTCTCCAATATACTGCACTTCCAGCTTTTTCTAAGGCTGGGTCAGAAACCTTTGCTTTTGTAAGTGTGATGAATTTCACAAAAAAAAAAAAAAAAGAAAAAAGAAAAAAGACAAGTCCAAGGAGAACTTGGGAGCTAGAATTACTTCGTACATATATAAAATGCAGAACAACTGATTAGGTGTTGCAAGAGAGTTTGAGGAGAGCAAAAACTAATTGACATGATACTGTTCCAAAAGAAGAAAACTTTTTTTGTAAGTATTGTTGAAGCTAATGGAATAGGTGATGTAACATATTTTGGCTTTGTTATATCTCTTTATTGTCAAATATACCAAGAGGTACATAATGTGCATATGCCACACTCTGTTATCTCAGGCGCACTTACTGCTTTCACAGATTCGAATGGGCATTACACCTGTCCAATATTGCCTTAGACTTAGTCTTAGGTAAGGACAGCACTTTTACTATAAGTAAAGCTGAGAATTAAGAAAGAAGGGATCTGATTAGTTGATTGGGGCTCCAAATGCACAGATATATACCATAACTTTGCAGGTTGAAATTCAGTAATTTTCTCTTGTCCTACTTTTGAAAGAGTATGGAACTCATTTAAGAAAGCTCTCTTTAGTTAATTAATCTGCCCAGAGACATGACAGAGAATTTACATCTCTGCTTTCTGGCATAAAGTTACAGGATACAGTTATTTGCAGCTATATACAGTGGAGGCCACAGTTAACAAACTGTACACAGAAGTCACCAAATATTACACCCCTATCTTCTACATATGCAATGAGAAAATTTATCACAATTGCTATTAGAATTATGATTTTGTAGACCCACCACTAGAGGGTGACAGAATATTATATTTAGTTAATGGGAGGAAGAGGTATTGTACATATACTTCAGCCAATGTATAACAGAACTGCAAACTAGCTTTTCTCAGTAGTCCTTTATTTATCCTTTGTGTGGTTTCTGCTTGTTCCTGAGTTCAGCTCAAAGCCTTATTCCAAATCTTAAGGCTATTCTTATACAAGATTCAACAAATCTTAAGGTTAATTTCATCCTGTTAAGGTTAGGAGTAGGGTTTCTTATGGACCTGCCTCTCCATCTAACATTATCTAATACTGTTGTCTGCATTAAAAAAGACATCACAAGGTGAAGGTAAGGTAGGTCTAGTACCAGGGCCAAGCAATGGAACACTACAGAAAAATGTATGACTGTCTTGTAGGCACAACCCAAAACGTACTTTCTGTCACAAGAAGCTATTGTTTGACAGAAAATTTTGAAAATCTCATAGAAAGAGACTAAAAGTAGAAGAGAAATAGGGAAAAGAAGGAAATAAAATAGAATAAATATTAATATAATTCTTATGATAAATATATTAATTGAAATATAATTAACAGAATCATAAGTAATAGAGATGATTCTGTCTAAAGGCAGGAATATAAGAAAACAGCTCATTTTTGCTCTCTACCTAGGTACCGATGCATATACTATACTGCATACAGCATGCTATACTCTAAATAAGGTAATATCAAAGCTGGTAAGTGCAGCTTACAGAAGGCCTTGGTGAGTGATCCTCAGTTAGTCCACAAAATCATTCTACTTGTACCATATTTTCAATGAAATACGTGGTGATACAGGTTAAAGTCTACAGATAGAGGTGATGAAGTCTTCTCTTCAGAGAAAGTGTTGAGTGTTGATCATCATGCAAAAAGCTTGGGAAGCACGGAATCAGGTTTTTTTGCTCAAGTTTTCACTGAATTTAGGCCTTTCCTTCCAACTCTAGGGCAAGGCGAACGCTCCCATCTACCTTCTACTTGCCTACTGCGTGCCAAAACTCCTTGTGCTCATCTGCCAACTTGAAGAACTAAGGGGTTAAGCACTGCCCAACCAGTTGTGCTCTTCTTCCCTAAGGAGACCTGCCCTAGCTACATTGGTCTGTGTGCTCACCATGGACTGAAGTCAGGCACAGGGAATTCAGGTAATTCCTTCGAGGAAGGTGACACTGGGATTTGCTGCACCCCAGCAATTGCCACCCACTCCTGCCATTGAGAAATGATCTGCAGTATAGATAGCCTGATGGATCCAGCCATGCCAGACATAAGAGCAATAGTCTGGTGATACCAGCCTGGCAATATGCCTTTGGGATATTATTTTCCTTCCACTTTGAAAAGTCTGTAGTCGCTTTTT